AAATGTGACAAGAGTTCAGATATTTGGAAGTTGTTGTAACAAATCAGAACTGCAGCTTGAAGAATTTAAGAGTTAATTACAATTAGGAAATTCTTAATAACCATTCATTTCAGAAAGTTTTGTCTTTACCACCCCATACGTAAAAAGCTTAAGTTTAAAAAATACAACATTGTGACTTTTTACTTATTGTTTTGTATGGCTGTGCAAATATTTTTCTGATCCAAAAGGCACACTCATTCAGGACGTTTTGGAAACAAGCTGCTGAGAAGAATGTTTGGACCTAAGAGAGAGGAAGTAACAAGTTTGGAGAAAATGTCTTAATAAAGAATTTAAATTACTGTAATTGTCATCTTGTGTAGCATACAGGAAATATGTTATTGGTATTTCTGTGACCAGGGATGATGATTATGGTGATGAAGGAAAGATAATTACACTGTGAAAATTTCACCAGAAACACATTCCTGAGAACTAAGAGGACAGTTAAGATATGGGGTGGGAGAAATTATGTTTGTACCACAGAACTGCACCAAAACCATTATCTGGATAAGGAATAAAATTATTTGTTTTTACAATTTTCTACTGTGATTTTTGATGCATTATAATTTGTTAATATGATATGTTTCTTTGACAGGTCTTGCAAATGCAACAGATAGATGTTCACAGGCGGTAAAGGTAGAAGAAGACGTACCGAAGAAGGCTTGCTCACGGCGTTCTGATATTGACAAGGAGGTTGATATGGAGATCTGGACATGGTACCAAGATCAGCAGGCAAAGGGCAGCAAACCGAGTTGGCATGAGGTTAGTGTATACATTAAACTACTGATGGTGTCACCCAGAAAGTGTTTCTTACAGTAGTTGATTAATTAGGTTACTCTTTAGAACAGTATCAGATATCTGTGTGGGTTGTACAAGATATGAATCCTGGTAAACTCATTGGTTATTTTATTTATTACCTCCATGTGAAAACCTTTATATTACCTTGGTTGTTGGATTTTTTAATGTCTCCAGGGTATGGTCCATTATTTTTTAATTTTATGGCCTATGTCAACATTCAGCAAATTATGTATAAAGTGAAGCTTTCATGGTGACTGAAGTTGATGAAAGACTCGGGCTACAAGATGTGTCGTGTGGCTGAATGGTGAATAAATCATATCTTCCGCATACGATATGGTTTATTCACCATTCAGCCACAGGATTCAACAAATGTGTATTCCATTTACGTGGTGGAAGTACCCATAGGGTGGTTTCTGTTATTGTCAGTGGTAGGGTGAACATGAGGATAATGTTCAGGAGGGAGATTTAATTTAATTTGGGCTGTATGCCTTGTTTGAGTTATAGTGTACTTCACTTTTGAAGTGTGAGGTGCTGCGGTGAGCAGGATTGCACATAATGGATATACACTAAAGGCAGTCTATTTTGATGAACAACATAAACTTAAAGATGGGGCTTGCTGTCAGAGATGATATGAAAACTTGCTGTTGTAACAAGAAAGGAAAACTTTTGAACAGCTTTACAAAATATCACATGTTCTTAATTAGTAAAATACAAATATAAGTGAACACATTCAGCATGGATTATAATACCTCAATTTTGGAGATAGTTTATCAGAATTATTCTGCTGGATAGTACAATAACAGTGCACCTCATGTTATTTGGTACCAGAATATAAACAAACAATACCAATCCACAGGTAAGAAATACTTCACAAATAAGTAACTGCATATTACATATCACAATATTACAGAGATTAATTTTATAAACATATCATGTCATAGATAATTCAATTCAATTCAGCAGCAGAGCATCACCAAATAGTAAACCATTGTTTTAAAGATTTTAATATGCCATTGGTGGATTACTTTATTATATTTTATTCACTATGTTATTAGTAATAACAAAGATTTACAATAGCTTCTGTACAATTTGAGAACCTGATGATGACCATTTTCAGTCTGATGTGTATCAGTAGTACAGACACTCGAAAAATAGTGGAAAAGTGGGTATAAAAGGGACAGTGACAGTGATATTAAAGTCAAGGATAGATAAGCAACATACCAGATTGGTATACTACAGAATTACTAAATGTTAACCCCAGGAATTCTGTCAGGGTTAAGTTCTGAATAATTGGTGATTTATTGTTGATCGTAGGTACAAGCTAAAGGGCTAAAACTATATCGAGGAAGAGGCAATGAGAACATCAAGTGTTCGTACCGGTGGTACAGGAGATGGTGTGATCGCTTCCATGTAGTGTTGCGACATGAAGGAGATGATGCTATGTTGGAGTGGGCTCTGACGCAGTTAGAGCTGGGACACAGTCTCAGTCATAACGATCTGCAAGCGCATGCACTTACTCTGGCTTCAGACAATGCATTCAAGGTGAGATTTTTTTGACCAGCAAGCAGACTTTGGGTAAAAGTCTTGATTATTCATTAAAAATTGGTTAACAATGTGATTATTTGTTGAAGTCCATCATAGTCTGAAATCTAAGGCTGCTGTGGAACAGTATCATCATGAAACAGAATAAGAAGTTCTGAGAAGACTTGTTTATCTGGGGAATAATGAATCAGAACACTGAACTAAGTGAAATGTAACATTAGGTGAATGTGATTGTACCACAGAAACTGAACACTAAATGAGGGGAATTATAAACAGTAAATGGGCATGTAAATTCAAGTGTTCCATATTGTAACTCAAGAACCCTGGGTATTTTATTGTTTAATATTGAGGTTTCTGTAAAGGAAAAGTATATAAGACAGATTTTTATGTAGTTTAAAAATACTATAAAGAAATGAAATTAGTAACATTTCTAGTGGCTAAAAAGAAATACAAAAAATGTGGAACATCAGAAGCTTTCATTTTATGTGGGTATAGAGAGTTGTCAGTTAAGAACATTAAAATGACGCAGAATTATAATTAATCTCAAACAAATATCCTGCCTAAGGTTTTCCATAATTTCCCTCAGTCTCTCTAATAGATTCTTGTCTAATTTGATATATTTATCTTCAAATAATCAAAGAATCACACATGTAAATACTTTGTGACATTATTGTAGTTTTTAAGTTTCGTACTATGTGACAGGCTTCACCAGGATGGGCAATTCGGTTTTGCAAACGCCATCCTGAGCTCCTTCAGCACAGTCCATCACTGGACACTGCCCTACCTGGTCCACTTCTCCAAAAAGTTGAAATGTTCCGTTGTGAATTGCAAAAAATTGTCCGGGACAACAGCTTATCTCTGGATTGTGTTGGCAACATGGATGAGGTTTACCTCAGCTTCTCAGCCCTGGTGTCAGGTAGGATGATTTTGGAGTCTGTGAAACGTGCAGCTGATAGATCATCTTCATACTTTTGTAAATATCATCACTCACACTAGTATTTTACCCCAGTCTGTAACCTTTCTGTTTTCATCTTCAGTTGGTTAACCCTCTCCTGACTCCAGAGACTGTAATTTTATATTTTGGTGGTGTTTTTACATTGTTTCATGTTGAGACTTGGGAACTAGATCCAGTATTTGAAAGTAATGCTCTCCCACATATCATATGATGTATTAAGTCCTTAAAAAGTTACTTACCTCTCCAAGGGATGACAGTAGGAGACAGGAAATGTGCATGTTTGTGAAGTTTAGGGCAGGGAAGAAAATTTGCATGGTCACTCTTATTCTGGGAGAGGTTAAGCCTTCTAGTAAAATTTCCTCACAGCATGTTTTGAACATCCACATTACATGCCACCATCCTGATGGAAGCTTGATTTGTTGTAGTTGTGTAAATTCTGTGTTATAGAAATAAATCTGCATTGAATCTAAGTTTTATGTGTGACATAAAAATTTGCTCATGACCATTGAACTGAAGGTTATAAATCAAATTACATGTACTGAAAAGTGGCCTATATCACTTTCCTGCAGTATTTCAACAAGTGTGAATGACGGACCTGCTTATAGATAAAGTATATAGTTTTGGAATGGAAATATAGATTCAGGAAATGCAACCTATACACATGTGAAAGGCATTCAGAAATGATGGAGGTTGGGCAAGAAAGTTTGTAATTTCTGCCTGGGTGTGCAACTTCTAGATGTGCTTTCAGCTAGAATAATTTAGCTTTCTTGTGTGAAGGTAGTTTTTATTTGAGTTCATATACAAAATAAGATAAATTAGAAGTGTGGTGACTACTGAGAATCAAATACTTTTAACAATGCCAAAGAATGTAAGATTTAAAAACTTTCATGGTGCATGAATGTTATAAAGTCCTCTTGGGCATTCAGCAGCATCAATGATGAGTCAAAAACCAATGTTTCAGAGACTAAGCTCTGTCTGTGTTGTCAGGGTTTGTGTCTCTGAAACAGTTTTTGTCTCATTATTGATGCATTATTGAGACAATTTTATAACAACTAGAGCAGAGCGCTCCTTTCGGAGCTCCTCCGGGGGGGGGGGTCAAGTTTTTAAAACGCAAGTAAGGGGATTGGTCAAGTGTTTAAAAAGCAACCAACCCCCCCTTTGGGGGGGTTGGTTGTGTTTTAATATCTTGTGTAAGAAAATAAACTAACCCCCCGAAGGGGGGGTTAGTTTAGTGTCTTACTCAGGTGTTTTAACCCCCTTCCTTTCATTTTATTTATCGCCTAAATATAATTTAAACACAGATACGTCAGTTTTCGTAATCGTAATATATTGAATGAGCAGTATGACTTGAATATTAGTATCAGATTACCTTGTTGGTGTTGGTAACATCTTCTTTCACCTTTCTTCATTTCTTAAATAGTTCTGATGTTTTAGTTCTTTATGTCGCTGTTCGGAGGTGATGTGCTGCTTCTGGAGCAGTGATCATGCGACTGGCTTGGTAGTTGGTGATCTCGTAGCCGTGAAACGTTATTTGTTTGATGACGTCATTTTTTGACGATGACGACAAATCACAAATTTTTATAGTAGATAGAAGAGCCAAAGAAGTTGTGTATTTTTATCCAACAATGCAACTCAACCTAATCTACCCTAACTGAACTGAATGCAACAAAAGAAATAATCACTTGACCTACTCCTTGTGGCATTCAATTCTGCAAGTGAATTATGTAGGAACCAGATTGTTAATTTGTGTTTAGCTTTAGAAGTGCTCTATCTGTGATTGTTAAATATGACTGCTAAATAAAGGTGCTGAAAAGGACTTTACAAGAGAAAACAAGATGTATTTTTTACACCTATGGTCAAAATTATAAAAATTTATTCACCAATAGATGGAAGCTTTAAATGTGAAAACCTGATATAGAAATTACACATTATTATCTTAAGAGCAGTAATTAATGACAATTACTGCAGAAAGATTATGCAATATAAAAGATATAAGGGTGCTGTACTTTGCTTGACCAATCCACTCCTTGACGTGACAAAGTAATGCATTTTATCTAGAGTATTATTAGGCCAGTTTAATTATTTCATGATGTTTATTTGTAGGACAAGTGATAAGTATATGGCATTAATTTCTATCATTTCTATATTGATCAGGTTCAAGCTCAAATGCAAAGCGCCATCTACTTGTACGACGGTCAGAGATGGAGAACTGTCATGCAACAATTGTATTAGCATGCCTGGCTGATGGTAATATATTGCCACCTGCAGTAATTCTGAAGGTAATACTACAGGGTCTTATTTAGATGCAGTGAAGGCCCTTAATTTAGGTCCTACAAAGAATAATTGGGCCAGTGAGTGAAAATGGTCAATGGCGAAGGAGATACAATGCAGAATTGTATTATTAGATCCGCTAGACTAAGGTGGGCAGGGCATGTTGCTAGAATAGAAGACAGTGACCTACCAAAGAAAATCATTGACAACAATCCTGGAGGACAAAGAAAGAGGGGCCGCCCAAAGCTCAGATGGGTTGATGGAGTGGAGGGGGGCGCAAGGGTGTTGGGATGCAGAAATTGGAGGGTGGTAGCGCGAGATAGATGGCGGATGGTTGTTGAGGAGGCCAAGGCTCACATCAGGCTGTAGCGCCGAAGAAGAAGAAGGCCCTTAATTTATGTTTATTTTCTTATTCCTTTATTATAATCATCATTTTTATCATGGCGTGTCCTTCTGCTTCTCCTCCTTTAGGTATGAATTTTTCTGTGAACAGATAGAAGACTTCACCTCTTCTGAATCTTTTGGATTTGTGGAATGTGGGAAATACAAGGTATCTAGCATGATTTGGAGCCTGTACTAAGGAGTAGGTTCTTTCTGCATAACATAATTTATTCCATCACCCCAATGATTGTATGTACAGCCACTTGCATCTCTCCTGTCAAGGTAGGTTGGTCAGTGTCATGATGGGGATGATGCAAAGAGTGCTTGTCAAGAGTCTTCATCTCTTTTATTATTTCTTTCTTTTCCATGTGTCCCCATTATATACTGCACACATGCCGTGTTTTCCCTAATTTAATAATATATCCACATATGAATTGCCAAGATGGTCATGTTTGACTTGACAGACCTGTTCCTGTTTTACAGTTATATTTGTTCTTAGTTTTAAGACCCCATATTATTTAAAACTCCTGTCTCATCAGCAGGGATATGTACTGTCTTTTGAATTCTGTCCCAAGGCTGTAGCATGATGTCCAAAATGAAGGTTTAATGGATTATTCTCATTGCTTTTTATGCATGTTTAGGTTCAGAGTTCTGATCATAGCCATGCACATCCACATAATGCTTTGTTTGGAATCAGAATGATATCAATATTTCGATAGTCATGTTAACATTGGTTTTATTGTGATGTTCTTATTCATCATTCATAGTTCCTGCATTGCCCACTATACCCCCAATGAAAGGACCGTGGTACCCACCAAGAAAATCTTATATAAAAATTCCACTTTGCTCCCATTTTTATAATAATGGTGATAACATTTTCTGGTATATAAGACTATATCACTCTATACTGTGTACAGTTTATGATGAATGCAAGGTGAGAGCATGAGACACTGCTGTTGGCTTTACTTTACTGTAATTATATAATTGTGATTTAGGTAAGTGGACTGGAGAGTGAGACTGAGTCTCCAGATGGCTGTGTGGTAGTCCTGGAGCAGGAGGAGGGGTTGATGGATGCATCCTGCATGTGTCAGTGGTTACAACAAATATGGTTCAAGTAAGTTTAAACTAAAACTCATTATTTTGGAATATATAACTGTACATCTGCAATCAACATTTACTGATATAAAAGCTCAAGACAATTATAGGTATTCTTAAAGTCATTACTTTTTCTTGTTATTTTCCTCCACCTGTAATTCCATATGTTCCTTGATATATCATGATTAAAGTTTCACCTCCTTAAATCATAATGATGTGGCCACCAGCTGTTTTTGTGGCTAATATATAGAAACTTGATAGAATCACATTAAACTTTGTTCAGTCTAGAGGTATGTTTTTATCTGCATGCATTCAATAAACTCAGCACCCAAATAAACTTTGACAAATCATGTGACAGAACCTCTGTATATTTTTGTTAACTTTCATTTAAAAATGTAATTTAAAGTTAATGTGGCCATAGAAAATTGTTTTGTTGATGACTGCAGACAAATCAGCCTGTGTCTGTGTGTGCATGTGAGAGAGAGAGAGAGAGAGAGAGAGAGAGAGATAAGAGTGATGTAGGAACATGTCATCAGCTCAGAATCACATGATGCCCATTAATCATTCATGGCAATGGTTACAAATTAATGATATAAATAATTATATTTAACTCCAATTTAGAAAAATGTGTAAGAAATATGTACACTTAATCTGAGTTTAGTGATGTAATTTTAAAGCTGTAGTTTTGTACATTAATACGAGGTGCGATCGGAAAGTTTCAAGACCGCGTATTAAAACCCGTACACTTCCTGGGAGTGAACACAACGATTCCAGCGCCGCTGCCAAGCCTGGAAGCATCCCTGGAAATCTTTCTTTGTCAGCCTGTCAAGCATCATCTGCGATTCTGCCTGAATCTCTTTTATCGTCTCAAATCTCCTTCCCTTTAGCTGACTTTTCATCTTTGGGAAGAGGAAGAAGTCACACGGGGCTTAGAAAGGAAGTTGGGGTCGGTTCTTGCAAGATCTTTGAGCTCCTGACAAACGAGAAGTCGATTCTGCTTCTGGTCCTCAGACAGGATGCGTCGCATGTGGGGTTCTTCCTTTAGAATCAGCTGACAGGTCCCAACAATGTCGCACAAGTCGTTGATGGTACGACGTCGATCTTTGTGAATGGCCTGCCGAATCTTCGTAACATTTTCGGGCGTTGTGCTCGAAGATGGTCGTCCAGAACGCTCGTCATCATCGACAGAGGTTCGGCCATTTTTAAAACATGAATGCACTACCAAAACGCCCGTAACTAAGAAACAAATGCTAATTCGATGATGCCGGCTGGCACACTGATTCACTATGAATGTAGGCCGCACCCCCTAGTGGCAGAAGCTCGTACTACATCCGGTTCGCCCTCTATTGACACAGTCTTGAAACTTTCCGATCGCACCTCGTAGATATTCCAAGAAAATAGTTTATTAAACTTCAGGAGAAATACTGCAATTCAGTATGAATGGGTGAATGCGTTGCTTTTGATTTTAGTAAATATTTTATAATGTGTAGAGAAGCTGACCATCAGCCCACATAAAAGAAAAACTACAATAAAGAAAAACAAAGAAGAAATGAGTTAAAAAATATTCATACAAAAGTAAGGGCCTCTAGACAGCAAGATGAAGGTGAACTTGAATATTTCATCTGCATGGTAAATGTTCTTGCAAGAGGATGTATTTTACTTTTACAGACATGTGCGAAATCCTAACCTTCTGCTGCTGGATTGCCATGAACCACACACTGGTGAGAGCATTGTGGCTGAGTTTTCTACTCATCAGAGTAATAGACTAATTATTCCAGGTGGCTGTACGTCAAAACTCCAGCCCCTTGATGTTAGTTTGAAGAGCATGTTCCATGTAAGTAAGTACATACTGGTAATTAGCAACTAGCAACAGTGTTTGTGTTAACAGTTCATGACTCAGAATTATGACTCTGTATATATTCAGAAATCATTTGTTTTACCTCTGTGTTTATCCCACTTGCAGCCACATATTCAGTAAAATATATGTGTATTTTATATCTTAATTGCGTCATGTTTGTGTTTTATTGATACAATATTTTATTTTCCGTCTATACACAAACTTAAAATAATGTTGTTTAAAATTACTTAAAATTATAACATTCTCAGTAGATACTGCATCTTGTTACATTTTTTGTATCGATACAAAAAATGTAACAAGATGCAGTATCTACTGAGAATGTTATAATTTTAAGTAATTTTAAACAACATTATTTTAAGTTTGTGTATAGACGGAAAATAAAATATTGTATATGTGTATTTGTGCATGTGGTATGTATGAGACTTTAATGTCTTATTGAATGTGTAGAGGTAAACCAGAACAGTATATCAGGAGGAAATTCTGATGATGGTGAAAAATTAATGTCAGTTTGGAAATTCTGCTTCTGATAATCAGTATATCTGTGTAATCATACCACGTTTCAAAAGTGGAAAATTACCACAGGTCTAATGGCAGTTGAGTGCATAAATGAACCATGAACAAGAAATATAATGTTTCATGTGAAAGGTGCCAATTAATGGCTTGTGAAATAATGCTGTCTGCCTAAATTTCAAATCCAGCTGTGATGACATGAATCATGTCTTTGCTGACAATCAGAACAACACACATATTTTTATTATGTTTTTCATATCACATATTTAGTTGAGTTAAAAATGTCTTACATTTTTTTAAATCTCATATTAAGATGAAATAATGCCAATGTTTCCACATAGTTTGCTACCATGTGTCATGCTCCATTGATAAATATGATTGATCATTGTTCATAAAATTGATGCATAATAAAAATATTGATCCCATTTAACATTATTTGAAACATTTTCTAAAATGGTGTATATTTAACATCATCATCTTCCTAAGACATTTCAACTTTATGTGGGTTGTCTGTTAACAACATACAAGGAAAAGAGTTGTTTGTATTGTTTATCTTCATTGAGACCAGTAGTTATGGCTATATGCTATGTCATACCCATACTGTTAATTACATCTGTTAACAAAATGTGCAATAAGTGAACAAGAAGATCAGTGAGGCATGCAAAGAATTTATTTTAAAACACTTTGTACTGTAAAGATACATACACTTTTCTGCTTTTGTTCCATACAAAAAAATAAGTCTTTGAAATGCCATGTTTTGTGGTACAGTATGCCAAGTTTTTGTGTCAATGTCTTGCCTTGTAAGTCATGTTACTGGCTTTGATGGGATAGTAATGGGCATCAGCTTCTAGAATTAATTTATGTGAAGGTCTGTGGATTCCTCTAGAGGCAATAAAATGAATTGTGTATGTTAAATTATTCCTTTTTGCTAAGATACACATATGTTAATTTATAAATTTTACTATTAACAATACGTGAAATGAATGTGAACTTCTGTATTTGCTCTCGTCAGGCATCTATACAGAAGCAGTGGTCTATGTTCAACTCTCACTCAAGTGAAGTGTGGGATGCCACTGGAAACAAACTGCAGCTACCAAGTCGCAAAGAAATTGTGGACTGGGTGACCACGGCATACTGCAGTTTGCAGGCTGCTGAACAGGTATGCACCTCAATGCATTGTTCAGTTCAAAATCATATACATCTCAAAACTTTTCTTGAACAGACACAACTTCTACTGCGTATCTATTCCCCACATATTGATTCTTGTGTGATGACTTGAAAAGGTTCTACCACAGCCACCACGATCTCGTATGTTTAGTTCTTAGACACTTGTTTCATTTTACACATTGTTCATATCTTGTGAAGTGATGGATGCAGTCATCAAAATACTTGATTTTCTTAAGTTTCTTCATACTTTGTTGTGAGTTATTTAATTTATATTAAATAAAATAAAGGCTAAAACATAAAAGAATTAACTAATCATGAGAAATTCATAAAATCTTTTATTTTTGTTGTGGTTGTTAATTTGATATTCTGGCAGTTTGGTAAGAATTTAGAATCTATATAGAGTGTATTTTATATATAGTTCTTTATCAACATGAGGCTAATGTTTATAGCCATGAAGCTTTATGGCACAGTTTGTGGAAAACATTAATGGTGATCAAGTTTGAATTATTGTCATACAAGTTATTTTTAGGTATGTTTGTAACCCTGTTGAGTGCCTAATATAGTAACTTTGTCTGTCCATACATATGAAATAGCTCAAGAATGGATAAACTGGTTTTGAAGAAAATTGATATTGAAGCATTTTACAAAAAAATTGTCAGGCCTTTTCAATTTTCATGTAGATTGGGCAATTTTAATGACCAGTTTACTTTTCTGAGCTTATCTCTATATGTTTACAGATGACATTTACCTTGGTTACTTTGTGATGGGAAATTTTCTGTGATGCTGTTGTGACCTAAGCAGACACCTTCCCCACAAAATAGTCAATTAAGAAGGAAATTCTGGTGAACGCAGCAAATTTTTATGCTGTGCATACAAAATTTGTTGCATGATGTGAATATCATTAAATATTAAAGTTAAGTATCCCACTGGTTTGCAGCATGACAGTAATGTCACACTGTGATGTGGATTAAAAGTAATGTGATTCATATGGTTTATGACAAACGAGTTCTTAATTTTGATCTGATGAAAAACTGAAAGCTTGCTGCTTTTGCTGAGTAAAAGGTCCAAGAAATTTATAAAAACCCCTGTTTTTAAAGTGGCTGATATGAATGATGGTGGCCGAATTTTGGACCCTTCTGCACATCTACTGTCGCGATTTAGTCAGTGTGAGTGGTTTGTGTATGAAGTATTCAGTTTATTCAAGTGTGAAGCAGACACCATTTGTACACATATTACTTTCTGTGCCACCCATCTTTCTTTGTGTAGGTCAGTTTAGATAACTGCCAACATTGAAAATCTATACAATCAATTGAGAGACAGATTTTCCAAAGGTTGTGTAAGAAAACAGTGAGAGATGATTTATTTGTTGTTTTAGGAAACTATACGTAGAAGTTTTCTGGTCACTGGGCTTACAGTAGCTGCTAATAAGAGTGAAGATCACTTCATTGAGAATCTGTCAATGATTCCAAGAGCCAATAACTGTGTATAGTTCTCAGCAGAGCAGTGTCCGGTAAGTTTTATGTGTCGTGTAGAAGTGACATGCAAAAGTACTGTATTTATATGTAATGACATTCAGTGAACCCAAATTTTTATCATATTTTCCTAAAATTATAAGGACACATATATTTATATTGTCAAATGAAAATGCTGTAGACTGGAACATGATCATTTCCTTTTGAGCTCACCATGTCATTTCCAAGGCTGTGGAGTCAGAGTCAGAAGCAATTTTAGGTGGAGATGGAGTCGGTAAAAATGTACTGACTCCGACCTTGACGTAAAATCTTAAGAACACTTTCGCTACCGTGTGGGCCGCCAGCAGACTCACGCTTAGGGAGATTTAACGACACGTTGAGCCACATGGTGTGGGAATAATGCCTTGTAACTTTGGCTCTAGAACCTTAAGAATACAAACAGTCTACGAAACAAGATTTCTGCAATAACCATTAGACATATACAGTCAAACCTCGGTTCACGAACTTAATTCGTTCCTGAAGGTCGTTCGTAAACCGAAACCATTTTCCAAATAGGAATTAATGTAAAATGGATTACTCTGTTCCTGGACCCCACATGATTGCTTATTTAAAATTTTACAACAGTACTTTGTGCACAAGTTCTTAACACAAAATCAATGGAAACCATTAAATCTATCACAAAAAGATAAACACAACACTAAGCAGATCAAATATAGACAAAAACTTAATTTAGTTTTACCGTACCTGAATGGAGGAGAGTTGATGGCGTAAGTGGAAGGTGGTGAGGAAGTGAAATGTTATTGTTTGGAAGGGGATTCTTTTTCTTTTTTCTGTCTCTTGGCACCACTCAATTCTGCATCAGACTCACTGGGCCTCTTGTCTCACTAAAAAGTTGTCCATTGTGATTTGTTTTTGTCTACGTTTTAAAATGTTTATAAAGTGACACATGGCATTATCATTGAAAATGTTTATGCTGCGGCTTGCTACTGCTTTATCGTGGTGATATCGTTCCACGAAACTTTGCACCTCACCCCATTTTACAGAAATTTCACGGATCAAATAAGTAGCAAGATCAGAGACATGAACACCATTTTCATGTTTGGCTATGATTTCTTTCTTGATATCTATCATGATATTGGTATTTTTTCTTTTCACTTTGCTGCTATCATTGTCTTTCTTTGGCCCCATGCTGGATCATTCTTCTACGAATACTGCCGATGCTGATACTCCCAGCTTATCGCTCCACGATGTTGACGGCTTGCATGTTCGTAACTCGAGATACAGTACGTCATCCGAGACGCTTTGTGTTCAGAAAATTTGTTCGTAAACTGAATTGTTCGTGATCCGAGGC